AACCCCCCCCCCCCCCCCCACAGCATCCGGAGGACTATTTTGGATCGAGGAACAAAGGCTATTCTGAAATACTTGCAGGACAAAATTGTACAGCATTAATGCCTCCCAATCTCTCTCTTTTGGGTCTGTCTAGGGGGTGAAAGAAAACTAAAACAATGTATCTATAGTATATATATATAATCGTGTGTGACAAAGTTTCAACATTAAAGTCTCATATGAACTATCAAACACCTACTAAAGAACTGATGTACTCTATCTTTTTCTTGTATTTGTTTTATGAATTGAGACTAATTTAATGTTAATGCTAGAGTTGTCGGTATACCGTAAAAGTTCACTGTGAGTAATGAAAGTATTGTGGACGTCTTTGCCATTGGAATGCAATTTTGGGCTAAACCGTTTATCACAAATATTGTCAATAAAAGTATTACTTTTGTCTTACATTACCATGAAATGTGACGCGACAAATAAGATCATATTACTCGGGACATTATTGTCTTTATTCACTATTAGAAGAATTTAAAGAAACACTAGGTATTATGCCAAAAAAAAACTAGGTACCGCGTCACAACTTGTTTTTTTGTTGAATTGTTACAATAACCTATAATCAAAATAGGGTAAAATATCCTATTAGCCCCTACAAAACAGGGGCGTTTGTTTCAGTCCCTATATTTTTTTGTAGTTAATTATATATTCATCCTTGCAATTCATTCTTTTTTCCATTTGGTCCTAAAACGTCACTAGGGTCCCAAAACTCTAACTTGAACATATTTTTTTTATTTCACCACAAAATGTCAAAATTGGTCCAATCTGCGTAACCCCTGCTCTGTTGCTTCTGTGCAAAAATGTGTTATTAAATTGAATGCAAAACGACTATGGAGAAATCTAAAGACGAAAAACAATTTGCATATCCATATAGTCCGTAATGCTGCGTATATTAGAAACAAATTACTCCTCAAGTCCTAAAAAATGAAAACAAATCTAAAAAATGAAAACAAATCTAATGCGGAACTAGAGAAGAGGATCGAAATAGTAACACCCACCCCTAGTAGTGTTGCGCATATTACCGTTCAACAGCCACCCATGACCTTATTCGACCGCCGTGCTACCACTATCAGAGGACTCCCGAGTCCCGACTGTTGCAACCCGAGGAAGTGGAAAATACCGATCATTCACCGTTTGCGCCATCACAACAAAATGTCCCCGGTCTGGTTTAGCTTTCAAAACTTGAGTAAAACCACCAAACTATGAAGTAATGGGAGAGGGGTTATGCGAACTGGATCAGTTTGTTGGTAAAATACTAAAATAAGATGAATGAGTTTAAATAAGTGATTGGATTACTTTGGATTCCACTAAGCTGATTAGAGTAGTGGATTTTGATATTGAGTAGGCACTTTGGATGCCAACTCATCTAATTAGAAAGCGTAATGACGTTTTAGGATCAAATGAGAAACAATTGAATTTCAGGGATAAACTAACTTAAATTTTTTTTATAGGGACTAAACAAAGATTTCCCCTTTCCAAACAAAAAATAAAACAAAATGCGCATGAGGTTATATTTTCTTCAAATTATTCTTATTACTTATTACGTTTTCTGATTGGAATCAGATCAAATTAGAAACAGCTACAAAAATATTACTATATTAGTGTTGTATTTAGGTGCCCTAGCGGCAATCAAATACCTATGTAACTGTACACTTTATCATGAATGAAAGGCCTTGAAGTATGTTTTATATCTCGTGTAACATAACATAGCTTCAGTCCATAGACGATAGCGCTTCAGTAACATAGATGAGGACTACGATGTTCTGATTATGAGACTGTTACTTCTTGACGAAGGCTATGTCTAGAATATCCCTAGTCGCACTTTATGANAACTGTCATCGGCTTTGGTTTTGAAAGAAATTCGGATGAATCTTGTGTATACAAGAAGGTCAGTGGGAGTGCTGTAGTCTTCCTTGCTCTGTATGTTGATGACATACTGCTCATAGGAAACGATATTCCTACTTTAACCACCGTCAAAACGTGGTTGAGTAAGAGTTTCTCTATGAAGGACTTGGGAGATGCCAGTTATGCACTTGGCATAAGGATCTATAGAGATAGATTACGGAAGCTGTTAGGTCTCAGTCAAAGTACATACATAGACAAGGTCCTTGCTAGATTCAGCATGTCTGAGTCGAAACGAGGAAGTTTGCCTATGGCCCAAGGCACGAGTCTTTCCAAGACTCAGGGTGCTTCCACTCCGGAGGAAGTAGAACACATGAGAAATGTTCCTTATGCGTCGTGTAACACCCCAATCCGTATAACCCGGAATTACACGAATTAAGGTGAAACGAGAGTTAAATAAAAAATTCGCTTGGCATTTGAAAATGATAATTACTTATAAATATTAAATTTACACTCTGGATCGCGACCCATTAAAAAAATATATTTTCAGAGTAATGCGGAAGTACAATAATAATTAAATCATGACACATTTAAATTCTTTGATGATCAAACATTTGCCTGCCATCCTTGCATCTCCTCTGACTCAATGCCCTCCGGGAGTGGTTCCGTCATTGTCCTCATGTTACCTACATGTAGTCAACGAAAAATACAAACTACACGCTCAGCGAAACCGCTGAGTGGTACCACGCTGGAATTGTAGAACAATTCATAGAAATATACATATACATATATAGATACGTCCACAAAATGTATAATAATATTCATGATATGGCACATTATATCGTATGTTCAATTTGATGATTTATGATGGTGGACATTTGATGATGATTACCTGATGGCATATTTAATCAGTATAATTATTCTTGATGATGATTACATGACACCTATGTAATCAATATAATTGTTCTTGATGAAGATTACATGATACCTATGTAATCAATGTACTTGATGATGATAACATGATTTCACATTTAATCAATTTGATTGTTCTTGATGATGACTACATGACACCTATGTAATCAATGTACTTGATGATGATAACATTATGCATGATTCTAACGAGCAAGGACACCCTTGCGCTATGAGATTCGCCCATTTGGTACGACGAACTCACGCGGCCTTAGTCTCACGAATGAGGTGAGACTAGAAAAATATGGGTGGTACTCGAAACCTGAATACCATGTACGTACACTAAGCCCGGAACGGGTGATGTCGGACTAGTAAGTCCCGCACATCACGCTATAAGAGACACAATTACGCATGATCTCTTACGCATGCATATGATATGATATGCTACAATATGTGTGATGAAATGAATGATATGACATGAACAATTTGTAAACAATATGAATATATAATCATGCATTAGTTTATTTGGATGAAACATGATTAAAATATCATTTAATTAAGCTACAGGGCTCGGAACGGTCGACCGTTTGGCGCGACGGTCGCCCTTGATCTTCATCAGGTTGGATTGGAGATTCACCGTGACGGTCGACCGTTGTTGACTGGAGGTGGACGGCGGCACTTGGCTGGACAGGTGATGGTCGACCGTTGGCCACCAGCGGTCGACCGTTTGCCTGACAGTCGGGGTCCATTTCGATGTTTAACGCGACGGTCGACCGTTTGCGTCGACCGTTTGGGTCTGCGAATCTTTCTCTTGATATTTTGAGTGTCCAAAATACTTCTTTAAGTCTTTTAAGCACCTTTGATTAATATATACATATTGTTGGGTTGATTTCCAAAGTTTATATTTACTTATGTGTATATTAACTTTATGGATTTGGTGTATTTTGATCTCAACATATAGATAACTTATATATGCATCACATATATATTTTGGAATGGTTTTAACATATGAAATAACATATATGTTCATGTATGTATGTGATGAATGATTCGACAAGTCTAACGCAAAGGTACAGACCTGGAAATCATCGGTCGAAACCTTACGGATGAGCGGGAGTGAAAACAATATCGAAATTCACCAACTTTGTCATTCCCGTCACAATTGGACAGCATGCGGTATTTTGAGCATATCTCCATCGTTTCTTCACGGAATCGCAAACCGTTTGATTTTGTGGATTGCTAAGACGTAAGGCTATAACTTTCGTATAGAAAGTATTTCGTTTTAACATATGTAAAATAGCGTAAATCGGACCTGAAGTCAATAGAAAGTTGCTGTCCAGAATTTCGGGTATGTCGATGAACATGATTCCGACGATTAACTCACTAACTTCAACATTCCAACGCCGAACTTTCTTTGCAATACCTTCCGGATGTTCCTAATAATTGTTAGAGAGTTTATGGTAAGTATTTGGGATGAAATAATATGAATTTTGGTGAAGAAAAACATGCCAACCCGAGGAGCTCGCCACCACTGGCGCAGTCCCGGTATTTTGG